TCTGTTGCTTCAAGTCTATTCTTCATCTGTGAGGAGATTGCTCGACATTCACGGCCATATAGAACAGGTGACATTACATAACAGTTCAGTACTCGTTTCTTTGTAACGAAATTTCTGTTTCTTAATACTTTGCTTAGTTTTTGAAAGGCATCATTCCCAACGCATTTTCAGATTTCAGCGTCGCAGTCTGTCCTCTGTTAAAAACTTTCCGAAGTATATAAATTGTTGTACTTGTTAGATTTTGGTATCTCCGGTTTGTAATTTTTATGTAGGACTTTTCCTTTTTACAACATTTATGTATTCAGTCTTCTTGCAATTAGTGTTTAGTCCTTTCTTCTTGCTTTCCTTCACTACCTTCTGTAAGAGTTCTTGTAGTTTCCTCATGCATTTGTTGTTAAGATTGTGTTCGCCAATAATGAATCCTGGCAGGACTTCTAATTCTATCAGAATCGCCTCACTGTATAGGTTAAATAAGTCCGGTGAGAAGACACATCCTTGTCTTACACTCCTTTCCAATTTTGTATATTTACTGAATTCATTATCTATCCGTATGCAGACGGTTTTCTCCCGGTATAAGTTCTAGATTGTTCTAAAATCCTTCCCAAATATGTCATGGTTAACGAGCAGTTCCAGCATATATCTAATATCCAAATATGTTCATGTTACTTATTTTTTAAAAAATCGTTATTACCCCATGCAAGGCAGCAAAACCACTAAGTCACAAGGGGTTACTGGGTGTGGAAGAATTGGAAACAGAAACATTACTAATGAGTGGAAAGAGAAAAGAATAATCAGGAGGAGAGTAGATAGCGATTGGCATTGCATTTAAAATTTTTGCAGATTAAAGTTGGCTGGAAAACATGGAGCCGGAAGGGAGTTCCACAAGCAGGAAGTGCGAGAAAATAAACTGTTAGCATAGAATTTACGGCTCTGTCTGGCCAGCTCAACTGGAAATTGATGAGATCTCGACTCCAGTCTAGTACTAAGTTTAAATTCATAAAATCTAGCTACTATAGCGAAGAGCTTATCCTAAGAATTAGCATGAAAGTATTTATAGAAAAAACACAACAGCCAAACTTACGGCGGGTGGGAAAATAAATGAAGCCGAGCCACCAGATAAGCACAGATAATATTTGATGATTCTTCTTTGGCTTTTATCAAAAGCTCAAACTAAAGATCAGGAGCACCGGACCATATATGGCAGCAATATTTTAAGGATGGACGAATGGTAGACTTATATATATGCAAGATATAAACTGGAGAGAAAAAGTCTCTCGTACGACATAAGGAACTGACTTCCAGCTGACGTGTACACATAGGTGAACAAACGGCGACAGCGTTTCATGCTTGAACGTAATATTCAGGACATGTGTTTTGGCTCGACTACTTATATATGCTGGTTAATGGTGTATTATGGGTAGCAAGGTCTATTCTATTCTGAGAATGCGGTAGCCATTTTTGACTGAAGATTGCACTCAAACATGAAACAAACTTATCACTTGACTTATTATTGACCTCAATGTCCATGTTTATATTTGCGTTGATATTGAGCCCACGAATATAGCATACAATATATATATATATATATATATAAAATAATAATTTTCTATTTTAAAAATATGGCTCCATCGCAACGCAGGAATTACCATGTTTCAAATCAGAAACTAAAATTTCAAACCTCTGTTCCATTCTCAAGCGATTTTTTTTGGAATATTTAGAAATTTACTTTATTACTTTCTTCTCTCTCTCTATATATATATATTAGTTAAGCAACGTAGAACCTGGTCAGTACCTAAATGAGTGAATGCTTAAGACTTGAAGGTGATGCGTGGATGATAACGACTCGGAAGTGGAAATCTGAGAACCGAGTTCCAATTCCAGTCAAGTTCGTTATTTTCCCTTATGCGCAAATGCTATTGGGGAAGGTATGAATCCACCACTTCTCCCCCAAGCTAGGAGTTAATTAGCGGGATTTGTATCAATGATTCAACATTATCTCCAAACAAAATTCAAAATGATGCAAAAATATTTTATGGCTTTAAGTAGCATGCAAAATGTTGATAAGCCGTAAAAATAAATGACCCAATATGTATTTGTACACCCACTCACTTTTGAAGGAATATTATATATTTGGAATAAAAAAACAAACAAACAAAAAAACAAGTAAAAAATAACCTTTCACGACAAATACACAAGCCGCTGCATTGTGATAAACGCTTTGATTCGTTACTTTTAGCAAGAAAAATGATATCGAACAATCGAAAATTCTACATGCCTCACTATATATATATATATATATATATATACAATGCGATGGTACTGCAGATGACATCGCTTCAGACACTTTGGTTTTTCTTTAGCACTAAAGTGAGCGTTTGATATTTTTACTGTTTTAAAATGAAAACACACACACACATATATATATATATATATAACCACAAAGAACGTGTTTCGCTAAAAACAAGCAACCGTCCCAAAGCGCTGAATAAACAAAACAGACCAAAAAGCAGACCCTCTCCTTTTCCGAAGACAACAAAGACAAACAAAATGAAAAAAAAAAAAAAAAGTCGGTCTAGAATATAATGTTTTAAGGCAAGAAGTCTTTGTAATTATCAAGAGAGATTAAAATACGAACTCACACACATAAATTATATTTTTCTTCATGACCAGAAAAGTGAAAAACCAACTCTCTCATCTGCGTCGTGTATGATTTTAATTTTTATTGATGGAGAATTTATTCTGGTGGCGTAGAGAGCAGAATTTTTCAATAGTGAATAGAATGTTCACTATTCAATTTAATATTACAGAAATATAGAATGACAACAAGAAAAATATATATAAGCAAAGTTTAGGAGGAGAGCTTGCTCATACGTTACTTTTTGTTTCGTTTCTATATTTTTGTTTTGAATAATAAAGATAAAGAAAAGAAAAAAGAAGCAAAGTGTATTTCATTGAAAGAAAAAATATAGCGCTCGCTATTTCTCAACAGGAAGGGAGGCAAATTTGAATGGTTTGATTTTAAATGACAATTTAAATAATCTGTGATAATAAAATTTATAGTTTGATATCGAATTTTATACGAGATCGATTAAAAACAAAACAAATTCCCTCACCTCAAGTCGACTTTCACTTTCCGGCTGATTAAGCAGCGAGTGCCAGAATAAAGAACCTGGCTTACGATTTGCTGTTTTCTTTTTAATCATTTCGATTTTAGATCACTTAGCTTTAACTGAGTTATTACTATTATTAGTCTTATTACTCCTACTACTTATTACTCTTATTACTACTACTACTACTAATAATAATTATCATTAGAGGTTGACAATCCTTTATCTAAAATTCCTGGGTCCGGAAGTGCTTTGGTTTTCAATTTTTTCGGATTTTGCAATACAGGCTATTTGATATCAGTCAGTTATGTGCCATGCAGTAGGTTGCCATCCAAGGTTATAGAGTCTGGTCTGTTCTACTATTTACCCTTAACTTGGGGGAGAAGAAGCGGATTCATACCTTTCACTACGGAAGAAGAGGATTACATTCAGTTTCCTGTAAGTGAATGTAATGGATTCGAGTGGAATTCGAACTCGGCGAGCCGCTATCCATATTTGTAGATAGCATCTAGATGCTATATACAAATGAAATGGAATGGAATGGAATGGAGGGGCACCTCGGCGTGGTGCAATGGTTAGCAAGCTTGTCTCGCTAGAACAATTAAGACTGAGTAGTGAGTTCGATCCTCACTGGGTACTCCATACTTCCGGCCTTGTGCCACATCTAAGCAGCGCTTAGAAAATCACTAGAAATGGAACTCAAGAATAAACACGATATAACAGCTTATACGTATAAACTGAAGGTAGTTTTATATAAACAACATATACCCTGAGATTAGCTTTATATAAAATTTAATGAATTTTCTGTCCATACAGACACGGGTAACGACGCTAGTCATATAATACTCACACGCATTTGTAAGATTTCATGTAAGAATGTTTTGTACTTTCTGTACGTGCACAAAAAAACAAAACATGATCACTACATACAACAAAATATGTATAAATGCAGGACTTTGACATTTTGAATAATAGCTTTACTGAGCAGGAAACACCGGGAGAGTAATCCACGGACGAAGGTGTTGCAGTGACGAACGCTAAACAAAAAAATGGCGCCAACATAGGCTACGTAGCTGAGTTGGGGATCTCTCACTCAGGTCAGATGAGGGTCACTTACAACAGCTGCACATCACCGAGGAACCTTCCAAGTGCTTTCTAAAATGTTTCATTTGAAGAAAGTCATGTCAATACTAGAAAAAGACTTTAGGATTTTGGAATTTCGGATAAAGAATACACAACCTTTATTATTATTAATGATTATTACTGTCTATTATTAATTATTATTAATATTACTAATTATTATTATTACTGTTATTATTATTATTATTAATGATGATTATTACTAATTATTGTTACTATTATTAATGATTATTATTATTATTTCTATTATTTATTATTCTTTTTATTTATTATTACTATTATTATTATTACTACTACTATTTATTATTAATGATTATTTTAACGTTTGAGGCTATAAACAGTTCCTTTTCTTTATCTTTCAATAGCCATATAAAATATGGCAATCTTAAACTGAGTCATAAAGCGATTTTTAAATATTTTTTAAAAATTCTCTAAATCCTCAAAAGTCATTTTTGGCGCTGAATCTGGATGATGTGCGGTTGGCTAAGGGACAATTTTTTTTTAACTGTTTATCAAAATTTTGCAGGTTATTTAAAGCCAGCAAATATTTTCTTTTAAATTTTAAAGAATTTTGGGAGATAATTATTTACTTATATATATATATATTAGCTGGGGTAGGGAGAAGAGGTGGATTCATGCCTTTCCCCAGGATATGTGCACGTTAGTGGATATAACGAACCCGACCGGAATTAAAACTCGGCTTTCCGATTTCCAGTTCTGTGCCTTTATCCATTACACCACCCACGCATTCAGGCTTACAGCACCTGGTATTCCCAAGTGGTCACCCATCTAGGTAGTGACCAGGCTTAACTTCGATGATAGTACGGGAACCAATGTTTCAACGTCATATGGCCGTAATGTAAGCCACAATGTGCGGGTGGAGTAATTGACAGCTAAACGGAATCTGAAATTGAAGAATAGAGTTCGTTGTTTTCATTTACGCGGAAATACCCTGGAGAAATGTATGAGTCCATCTCTTTTCCCATCTATGGGTTAAATTGTAGGACTTGTATCTGGAAGTATCATTGTTATCTGCAAAATTTGGTAATACAATATTCATTCGCAAAAAAAAAAAAGAAGAAAATTCTTATATTAAAAATCTCACTGTAAGCAGGAGTTGTTCGTGGGCTTAAAAGTAATTAGACATTAATGTTATTTATTGCATCTTACCTCTGACGATCTACTCTTTGACAAACAATATGGCTTCTGTTTTGCTAGGTCTACCGCTGATGTGCTAATGGACATGACTGAATATGTATATCAAGCTCTTGATAATAACGGCGAAGCTCGAGCTGCGGTTCTAGATATCTTGAAGGCCTTGTTTGGCACACTGGTCTTCTACGTGAGTTCCAGCACTAGGGTATTACTGAACGATTGTTGGATTCAATCTAATCATTCTTATCAAATCATGAAATGAAGATCGTTTTCAACGGGATCATTTCCAGATACTTTCACACAAAATGCGGGTATCCCACAAGGCCCTATCCCGGGTCCTACGCTATTTCTTATCTTGTTGATATCATCAGTTCTCAAGTAGGTGTTTATGCTGACGACACTACCATTTTATCCTTGTTTCCAATAGCAAATCCGTCATGGCTGACAAAGTTAACCTGGCCGCTGCTCTTGAAAACGACCTTCAATCTGTGGTTAAATGGGGAAGGAAATGGATCGTAAATTTTAAAGTCCCCAAAAGGAAACTGCTCTCATTTAACCAGCATAGAGAAACTTACATAATTTTCTTTGGTGTATATCCACAATCTAGAAGTATATAGCAGCATCACAAAACCAGATCTGACAGAAATATTCAATACGAATGGTAGAATCTATCTCTATCTATATATATATATATATATATATATATATATATATTACACAGACACTGAGTAAATTTACATGATTTTTTTTTTATTACAAAATTAAACGCGTTCGTTAAATCTTGATACTGTAAACCGACACTTCTTTAGGGTCGCAAAAGAAATTCTTTTGATCGATTACTGCAGATCGAACCAGTATTATTATTTTGCTGCTAAAACAGGCGATTCGTTCAGTGGACACGCACTGAGGAGATTTGAAATGAGGTAGCCATCTTTGCACAACAGTGAACTTGGTAGTTGAGGGTCAAGACGGAGAAAACAGATAAAAGCATTTTAGGTTACAAGGAAATTGAATTAAATTTGATAATAAAAGTAAAAAAAAAAGCAACACCTCTCCATCAGAAATCAACAAAAACAAAACATAGAAGAAAGACAAACAAAAACAAGACAAACAAAAACCGCTTAAAAACACACACATACACATTTGTGGTGAATTTATTATCGAGTATCGACGTTCACTAAAGTGATAGGAAAACAGGGAAGCATTTAAGAGGATTTGGAATCCGAAATTGCATTTTGCACTTAAGATCAATAACAGGAATTAAACGAAGTAATTCCAGAGACATTTTTCAATTCTTTTTTCTTTTTCGTTCGTTCTTATATAGTTATCTATCTTCAAAGATGTCCGTCTAAATTTACGTTGGCAAAAAACATGTTTAAAGTTCACTGCAGAGTGTTCTCGAAATATGCGGGGGAGAGGGGGGTGTGAAGGTTGTAGATATACGTATATGTAGTCTATGTACCTATCCATTGCCACATGTTTTTAGTAATATTTTAATTTTCTGTTTACATTATAAATGCATTTTTTTTCTGTTAAAAATCTGCATTTATCAAACAAAACTTTTTTCTGTGTAAGGAAAACATTAATCATATAGAATAAATTCAAATATTAACTTCACCATCATTGTCGACACAGACATCTATATCTGTCTCTCTCTATATATATATATATTAAGTGCGACATTACTGTAATTATTGAACAATATAGTTCATGCCACTTTGACAGAAAATTTACCAGTAAAAAATTCGTATATCACCATATTTGTACATGAACGCACAACTGTAAAAAATTTAAAATCAAACTCAGCGTTGCTACTGCGCGCTCCAAAAACAATAACTCATTTCCAATAGCATTTTCGGATACAACAATACATATATTTTCGTTGTCCTCTTATTACTAAGAGAAAAACAAGAACAACATCTATTCCATACCTGAAGATGTCTGTAGGAACAGACGAAAGCTTGTAGTAAAAATAAGAACTAATACGGCAGAAATTTATAGAAACAAGGATCATTTCATTCATAACGGATTCGGAGGTTTTTGTATATTATTTGAATTGTTTGCGACGATGGATTTCTCGCCAATTAAATCATTAACCTTTGCATTTGTTTTTTGTGTGAATAATTCATGAATCTATATATATATCGATCTCTCTCTATATCTATATCTATATATCGATCTCTCTCTCTCTCTCTCTCTCTATATATATATATATATATAGATAGATAGATAGATAGATAGATAGATCTCTCTCTATATATATATATATCACACAGGGTGACTGAAAAGTAACTCCCTATTTTATGTATGATGGACTCTCCCGTCTTGTAAAAAATATAGTTAGGCGGGTGAGTCCCATCATACATAAAATATAGAGTTATTTTTCAATCACCTTGTATATATATATCCATCATTAATTTCGCTGAATGTGTTTTCCTGATGTTTTCATGGTTAAAATATCTTCAATTTTAAAGAAAAATAATTTTTGTTGGGAGTGGCAGGGTGTAACGGTTAACAGAACGGATTATAGCGTCATATGAATTGAATTCAAATTCCGGCTGGGATGATTTCTCCCTATCTATGGATAAACAGCGGAGCAACGGAATTCTGTGTAAACGACCCGTTTACATTAAAAATTTGGAATCGGTTCGGTTTTCCCACATGACCATAAAAGTTTAAGAAATATGAAGAGATATAATAAAGAATTTCAGGAATATATGTTTTAAAAATCTAGTTTGACGCTACATGATCTTTATAAATGTTAAATACATTAAATCTACAGGAAAAAAGACAATCGTTTATCTTCTTGACAACATGTGATGTACAGGGTGATTGAAAAGTAACTCCCTGTTTTATGTATGATGGACTCTCACGTCTTGTAAAAATTATAGTTATATAAGAGAGTCCATCATACATAAAATAGGGAGTTACTTTCCAGTCACTCTGTATATCCCAGTGTTAGAGCATTCGCTTTCCGACTATGAGACCCAGGTCTAGATCTCACCAGAGTCGATTTATCAGGAAGGTTCTATCGGCGCGCGACACATTTGAAAAGTGCCTGAAAAACCATACTACGAAGCCAGGATTCGAGTGTACTGGCCTTGTTCAGACTGTTGATCTCGCTATATAAGGTGTTCTCTCCCATAAACTAAGGTCCGCTCAGTTAAAACACAGGAGGGTTCTTTGGGTGTTGAAAAGAACCCAAACGTGCCTGAGAAGGTGTCTACAACGGATAGACTATCCGCCCTAGTAGATAGGTATGCGAGAGGACAACTATTTGATATATAATTTATTTATTACACACTACAGGCAAAAAGCTTGGGTCCACCCTGCATTTCTTAAAATGAGATACTTTCGTATCTTTTTAAAGTAAAAAGGGAAATGTCATCAACTACAGTGTATTTGCTTTGATGATTCTGAAAAATTAATTAACTATAAAAAAATTATCATGCAACAGCATCATATTTTGTTTTCGTCAATAAAACTGCCATCTGCCTTAATTACTGCTTTATAAAATTTTGAAATTCTTTCCAACAGTTTTTGAAAAAAAATAAAAAAAATTAAATGGCAAACTTTTCCAAGCATTCATCACGCATTGAAAAAGTTCACTCTCACGCTTTGGGTATTCTCTTCTAACTTTCATATCAGGTTCATCACATACTAATTCAATATCAGAAAATTCAGGAAATTGAGGCGGCCAAATCATAATTTCAAAAATTATTTTTTTTTAAATTCTAGTTAATTTCGACAATTTAGAAGATTGCTTTGGATCGTGGTTTCGTTAAAAGGTGATTTTTTTCCCAATTATGTGTAAAACATGATGGTATAGTATGTCTTCGCAAAATTGAATGATACTGTACCTTTTCCATGATTCCTTTGACCTAATTAAAAATCTCCATCCCTCTCTCACTCAAAAGACACCCACGCCATAACAGACATGTCACGTTGCTTAACTTTTGGGAACACATTAATCATTGAGTTTTCTCCTGGCTTTCTTCACATATACGCTCTTTTACTAACAAAAAGTTCAAATTTGAATTTGTATGTCCACAATACATTTTGCTAATCTTTCAACATCCTTTTCTCATGTTTTTTGGCCAGTAATAATCTTTTCTTTTTATTGCCCTTTCATAACAAGATTTCTTAATGGCTATGCACTTCCTGACCCCACTGATCTAAGTCGATTTTTCACTGTTCATAGCAACACTGGTTGCTATCGAGAGGAATTAAGTTTGCTTTCTATTTCTTTTGTTTTTAATAATCAAGTAATCTTGGTAATTTGTCTTTGAGAGTAAACTCCTTTGAATAAAATTTCAATTTGTGCCCTCACTTCGATGCTTAACTGCTTTGATTTTGCTATTTTGTGCAAATTACTTCAAAATTAAATATATATATATATATATATATCTCTTTCCGCCATGTGTGAGTATAAATTCATTCTACCAAAGACGCATCCGATAGCATATCTCTCTCTCTCTCTCTATATATATATATATATATATATATATATATATATTCATGTTTTACGTATTTATTCTATTCAGCTATTGTTGCTTGATCACTCCGACTAATTTAACATTAATACTTGTTCTAACCTAACTGATAACTTGTTTGTGTAGTTGGAAATCGTCCCCCCTACCTCTGGAAAAAAGGGAAAAATGTCCCTTCACCATGTGTTAACATGTCTTCAGTATTCTTTGGC